TCTCCTTCCCTTCCGTCGCCCGTGCTTCCTTCCCTCCGCCTCACTGGAAACCCAACTTGGAAACCGGGAATCCAAAAAGAGGATAATTAAAAGAAGAAGAAGAAGAAGAAGAAGAAGAAGAAGAAGAAGAAGAAGAAAAAAAAGGGGAAGCCTAGAAAACGAAATTTCTTTCTTTCCTTCGCCATTTTCGTGTCATTCCCTCCCTTCCCTCTTATCTAACATCCATTCCCTCCCATAAAAAAACCGGCCTCCTCCAACCCCTCGCCGTCTTCGCAACCCGATTCCCCAAACGCGCCCAAAATCCATCACACTTCCGCCCTCCCGACACAGGACACGGGCGCCCTCCTCGATCCGTCTACGTGGACCCCCGGCGAGCGTCACAACTTCCCCCTAATCCAAATCAATGGCCAAAACTTCCATCATCTCCGTCACAACAACTTCCAACGGCGGCGACCATCCAGCAGAGGCAGGGACGGAAGCAGCAGGAAGAGCAGGAGCAGAAGAGGGGAAGTAGGGGCAGAAGGAGGAGCAGGAAGCAGAAGGAGGAGCAGGAGCAGAAGCAGGGGCAGGGGCAGGAGCAGAGGCAGACGGAAGCAGCAGGAGGAGCAGGAGCAGAAGTAGGGGCAGAAGGAGGAGCAGGAGCAGAAGAGGGCAGAAGGAAGGGCAGAGGAGCAGAGGAGGGCAGAAGGAGGGGCAGAAGCAGGAGCAGAAGGAGGGGCAGTAGGGGCAGAAGGAGGAGCAGGAGCAGAAGAAGGGGCAGAAGCAGAGGCAGAAGGGGCAGAAGCAGGAGCAGAAGAAGAGGGGCAGAAGGAGGAGCAGAAGCAGCAGAAGCAGGAGCAGAAGCAGGGGCATCCGACGTCCGAAATTCGACTTCCGAATTACTGCTCTCCTAACTTGGGTGATCAGACGCGCGCCCACGCCCACGCAACTCGGACAAAGTGACGTGTGTCTCCTTCTCCCGCCTCTTTCCTTCGGGCTCTTTCGGCCTCTCCAGTCCGGGCCGAATGACAATGATACCCCGCAGTCTATCTCTAATTGCTTGTGGTCTTCCTTCTTTATTGCTATTTTTTTTTGCTTTGCCTTTCCTTTTTCATGTTTATGTTCCTCTTCTTGTCTTTTTTTCGTTCTTCTTTTTCTTTTTCTTTTTCTTTGTTCCACTGTTCCTGTTCATGTCTTTTTGTTTTGGTCTCTATATATCCACCTTTCTTTCCAAACTCCATGATTCGATTTAATGCTACACCGAGCCTAAAGAATAATAACGCGAAGAGCAAACGAAGCATTTTCACGCCTCTTCACACCAACGCGATAATAATTCCCATCCAAATGAAGCAACGAATTCTCACGCCATAATGACGTCACGGATTATGACGTCACGAGGAGGGATCTCGCCCGGTCCGCATCGCCATCATCAGGAAATCCTTCTTCATGCCGGCGAGACGATCATCTTCCGAGACGTTGCTCAGTTTCCCTTCCTCCTCGTCGTCTTCGTCTTCTTCGTCCGCCTGTTCCATTTCTCTTGTTCCTTGTCCTCCTCTATGACCACCATCTTCCAATAATCCTTGGCCTTCACGTCTTTCGCCCTCCCGCACCTTCTACTAATCTTCGCTAACAATTATTCTGCCTAATTATCCTCATCCACTTTCCTCCTCTCCTCTAACCCTCAACCCTTTACCCACAGAGAAAAAAGGAAAAAAAATATCTAAGTCCCTTTAAGTCCCTTCTCCGTGTTTACTTGTCATTAGTCCCAACCTGAGTTTTCTTTATCCTCAGACAGATGCTTCTGCTGGATCAAAAATATGGAAATGAGCCTAAAATGCCAAAAAAAAAAGAAAAAAAAAAAAATAAATCCGCTTTCGAGTTTCCATTTTTTTTTTTCATCATGATTTGCCAAGGCTTCCTGGCCAACGCATTTCTTAGTCCAAACTTTATTTGCATACAAAATAAACACGGACGCAAATCCCTCATGCGTGTGTGTGTGTGTGTGCTAAGCCCGAGACTTTGAAGGGCTGATTCCGCGATGCAACACAGGCTCATGTCTGTCAATATGTGCCTTGAATTTCGATGGCCTGATTCCCCGCTTGCCAATCTGCATGTCCGTCCGCGTGACACTTATTGATCAATATGGTCCCTCTGCTTTGTTTTCGCATTGAATCTCCCTCGTTTTTTTTCCTTCCTTTTTCATTTCTTACCATTCCTTTCATCAGACTCTTAAGAAATGATTTTTCATACTTTGGAACGTGCATCGCCTCAACTACACATTCGTCTGGCTGTTCATAATATATCCTATCTGCGAGTTCCCACTTCCTGTGAGCAGATACCTGGGTGATTCCCTGTCCATCCTCGTGTTTATTTGAGCATTTGGGAGGGAACATGGCAAGGAGGGGGGGGGGTATGGGGTGCCAAGGAGGGGGCGGGGGTAAGGGGTGCCAGGGAGGGGGGGCGAAGGAAATGGGAATAGGAAGGAGACGGGAATGATGAAGGTAAGGGGCGGGAATGAGAAAGGGAAGAGAACAGGAACGTCCAAGTAGAAGAGTGGAAAGGCGAAGTAAGAGCAAAGGGCAAGAGCAAAGATATGAGGTATGGGTAAGGATGGAGAGGGAGTGAAAGGAGGGAAAAATGGGATAGAAATAGGACTTCTCACCCCTCCGACTTCTCACGCCTCAGTCCTCCGCTCCTGTTCCCACCTCTCCGTTTTGGTCCACTGGCTATAGGCATGTGTAGGCCTGGGCGGGCTGCATTTGGGGATGCAATTGCCTCCACGGACGACTGCCTCGCGCCTGCCCGCTCACTCGTCCTTTTCCTTTTATGCAATCCTTCCTTTACTCTGCACCTTATGTACTTTTTGTATATATATATATATATATATATATATATATATATATATGCGTATGTACTTTACTCTGCACCTTATGTACTTTTTGTAGATAAACGTATATGTGCGTGTGTATGCTTATATAAGGATACACACATGCGAACACACACATACATACATTATTTACCAATAAACCAAGTGGCACCAATACATGCAATGGCAGGAGGAGGCTACTCTATACCTCTACATTTCCACAGTTGACGAGCTAGCCTTGCAAGGTACAGAGAAACCGTTTTTTTTTCTTCTTTTTTCCTCTCTCCTTTTTCTGTTTTTTGTTTGTTTTGTTTTTCAGTTCATCGAAAAAAAACAATAACCTCATAAAACAAAATCTCGAGCGGCGGGGAAAAGCATGGCGTCCGCACTCGCCCTCCCGTTCGTGCGGACGACGACCGCGACGCCAGGCAGTGTTGGGTAAGACGCCCGGCACTGCCTCATTTACAAGGGTCAAATATGCGTGACACCTGTCGCCAGTGGACTGCATTCGCTTCCTCCCTTTTCTTCTTCTCTCCCCCTTCCCTCCTCTGCTCCAGACCTCCTTCCTTCCCCTATTTCCCACTCTTCTCCAGGCCTCCTTCCTCCTTCTTTCCCACTCTCCTTCGGCCCTCCTCCCTCCCCTCTTCCTCACTCTCCTTCAGCTCCTTCGGCTCCTTCACCTCCCTCTTCCTCACTCTCCTTCAGGTCAGGCCTCCTCCCCTCTTCCCCCTCCCCCCCCTCTTCTCCAGGCCTCCTTCCTTCCCCTATTTCCCACTCTCCTTCGGCCCTCCTTCCTCCCTTCTTCCTCACTCTCCTTCAGTCCTCCTTCCCTCCCCATTTCTCCCTCTTCTCCAGGCCTCATTCCCTCCCCTCTTTCCCTCTTTCCAGTCCTTCTTCTCCCTCCCTTCCCCTCTCCTACAGTCCTCCTTACCTCCCCCTTTCCCACTCCTTCAGTCCTCCTTCCCCCTCCCCTCCTCCCTCCTCCCCCCTTTCCCTCTCTTCGGCCCTCCTTCCCCTCCCCTCCCTCTCCCTCCCTCGCCCTCCTGCTCGCCCTCGCAGAACATGTTTCCGCTCCAACGACCGCTCACTCTGCAGCTTGAACTCGTAATTGCAGAAACTTCGAGAACACCTCTAACGGACGGTGGCCATCTTGTGTCCCATTCTCGTTCGATTCCCTCCTTCGCCTTCTCCGTTCTTCCTTCTTTCCTTTAGTTCCTCTTTCGTGCGTCCGCATGTTCAAGCCTTGCTTCCTCCCTCCACCTTCTCTTTCCTAATTTCCATCATTCTTTCCCCCCTTTTCCCCTTTTAATCATTTACCTGTTTCTCCCTAATTTTATCTGTTTTCCTCGTCTTAATTCCTAATTTCCATTTTTCCTTTTTTTTATTCTTTTCGCCGATTGGCTATCCATCTCTTGCTTTCGTTTCCCTTCTCCTTATCTCCGCTCGTCTGTTCAATGTTATAAAACTTCTTTCGTTATCCTTCTATTTTTCTCTTGCATTTTTGTCGCAATTCTAAATCTCTGCAGGCTTCCTTCTCCAAAGTTTTCTTTTTTTCCCTTTTATTTTCAAGTATCGTGTTTTGTTAATTACACTTAATTTCTTCCAAATAAGAGATCTAAAAAAATCAATAAAATGCTTAAACTAAATCTCAAACAATTCAAAAAAGAAAAATCTCAATTCATCATCACCATCTACCGTCTCCTCCTCCTTCCTTCTCTACTTCCACTTCTCTCTCCCTCCATTCCTCCATCTTCCTCTAACCCCATCCTCAAGTTTCACACGAACTGTCTATAACGAAGAAGACGAAGAAGGCGAAGAAGGAGGAAGAGACGAAGCAGAAGAAAAATACACGTGTTAATTTCACACGAATTGTCTATAACGAAGAAGACGAAGACGAAGACGACGAAAACGAAGACGAAGCAGAAGTAAAAATGTTCTCGTGTTAACTGCGTTAAATGTTCAGGTTTCACATACCCTCCCCCCCCTGTTATCCCCCCATCCCCTTGATACAAACTACAAAGCATCCAAAGTATCAAGCTGCATGGACTTCAGATCCTTTTCACCTTTTCACCTTCGTTTTTTTTTTATGTTTTGATAGGTATGATTATTAAATTTAAAAATTATTATTATTATTATTTTTTTGAAGTGAGTGTGA